TGTCAATCCGACAGTTATGAGCCCGGTTGCCCGTTGCAATATCTATTAAGATATATCAGACCTCTCTGCTCTGTATCTTAGCAACGTGTATAATATTCCGCAGTGCCGGATACCCCTGAATAGCTCGGATACCTCTGAATCGCCCGGTTACCCCTGAACGGCACATACGAGCGTTGCCAACGACCGATTGCGAACAGGACGATAGAATACAATAAGGGAAAGCAGTATAAGGATGTCAGAAGGCCTCTACTCAGAAGAACTGAGGGCAGTGCCTCAGGACCAGCGACTACGGTCGGAAAGTCAATGGAGAGTCTGGATCGGTAGGGGTCGGCACGAATACATATTCGTAACATTTTGAGATATTCGCATTCGCATTCGTAGATCATGTTGAGATAGGTAGTTGTAGTGTTCTTGTTGAGGTTACTATCAAAAGTGGGAATCCCGTCTATTTAAATGTCCATCACTAGTCCTGCCATAAGCTTTGACCACTGCGATACTCAACACTCCCACTCGATGGCCACCATCACCAATGGTGTCAGTGACTATGTGATCGCGGTTGTGACGGGTCCCATTAAAACCTTCAAAAACTTCATTTGAGAAGAAAGGAAGGAAAGGGTACCCTGCGCCTTAGTCTTGTTCAATACAAATAAGGTGTAGCAATCACTCAACCCCAAGCCGTTTCCGAAACCACTCAAATCTTTCCCGAGCAAGGGGTTTGGTGAACCCATCAGCAATTTGTTCTGTGGTTGGGATATATTTGAGCTTCACTGTTCCGTTGTCTTGGACCTCTCCCTGCCACTTGCGTTGGATTTCCATATGTTTTGTGCGAGAGTGGTATTGTGGGTTCGAGGAGAGAGCAATGGCCCCTTGGTTATCCCCGCAGATGATCGTGGCGTTTAATCCTTGATTCATATTCAATTCGTTGAGAAGCCTTCTCAACCAGACTGCTTCTTTGGTGGCTTGTGTCTGCCCTAGAAATTCGGCTTCGCACGTTGAGAGGGCAACGACGCCCTGGCGTTTCGATTGCCAACTGATGGCCCCACTTCCAATGTTGAAGAGATACCCAGCTGTTGATCGTCTCGTGTCACGACATCCTCCCCAATCTGCATCTGTGAAGCCTTTCAGTTTCTGAGGCTGACCCTTGTACGCGAGTCTGAGGCTCTTGGTTCCTTTGAGGTACCGCAGGATGCGTTGAGCGAGTTTTATGTGTTGGGGCCCAGGATTTGCCAGAGACCTACTCGCCACAGAGACTGCATACGCGATGTCCCCCCTGGTTCCAAGCATAATGTACATCAGAGATCCGACCATGCGTTGGTAAGAGGTCCTCTGATCTGGAGGGCACGTGTAGTCTGGACTGTTCTCTAGAAGCGGTGAGGTTTCTATCGGCGTGCCGATGGGAGCGCAGTTGCCAATATCAAATTGATGAGCAACCTTGTCAATGTATGCTTCTTGACTGAGGGACAATTTCCTGTTTTGGCGGTCTCGCTGGATGGATATCCCAAGGTAGTAGCTGCATGGGCCCAGATCTGTCATCTGAAAACGGTTCCTTAGGCTCCGCTTGATCTTCTTGATCTCTGCGATACTCGGACCCACGATCAGGAGATCATCAACATATACCGCGATGTACATATTGCTCCGAACGAAGATACCAAGATCGGCGGAGATTGGCTCGAAGCCAAGATTGCGCAGGAAGTTCGTGAGGGTCTGGTACCAGATGCGAGGAGCCTGCTTTAATCCATAGAGGGCTTTTCGAAGCTTGCAGACCCTTGGGGTGCCATCCGTCATGTGATGGGGCTGTTCGACGTAGATCTCGTGGTCTATATGTCCGTACAAGAATGCGGTTTTGACATCCATTTGCTCGATCTCGAAGTCCAGGGCCGCTCCGATTGCGAAGAGGGCTTTGTAGCTCATTGGCTTGACAACCGAGGCAAAGGTTTCATCATAGTCAATACCGTCTTCTTGTGTGAAGCCTCTCACCACCCATCTGCTCTTATGGCGGAGTACTTCGCCGTGAGGTCCTCGTTTGAGTTTGAAGACCCATTTTCCACTGAGAACTCGCCGGTCTTTGGGGGGATCAACAAGCTCCCACGTTTTGTTTTGCTTGAGTGAGTTCACTTCTTCAAGCATTGCCCTTTTCCATTCGAGCCAGCTTGTGTCGTTCTTCGCTTGATGCAGATTCTTTGGCTCAGAGGGTTCTGTTTCCTCTGCAGCTACCGTTAAGAGTGTTGGGATGATGTTCTCTTCGGGTATATTCATTAGTGCAAGCTCTTCTTCGCTCTCATCAGACGTGTCTAGTGTGACTTGTGGAGCACGAATCTTCATTTCAGGGTGATGATCTAGTGCTCCTTGTTGCACTTCATGAACTGGGTTGTCAAGTTCAAGTTGGAGTTCTGGATATCGTTGCCATTCTCCTGAACTTAGCCCTTGTTGAGCGTCGTCTTGTTGCTGGTCGCCACCGGGTGGTGAGTCAATCCCAAGGACAGAATCCTGATAAGCAGGTGATAGGGGTCCGAGGGCATCGTCACTCCGTATGGACGACAAGGTCCTGTCTCCCTGTACAGCAACAGCTGGCTGCGAGTCTTCGTTACTCGATTGAGACGACGCTGGGGTTTGCGAGTTATCGTTACTCGGCTGGGTAAGCACTCGCGAGTTATCGTTACTCCGAGGCAGTATGTGCGAGATATCGTTTCTCGGCTTAGGTAGGGCCCGCTCCGATGGTGCCATTGACAATTGGCGCCCCGAAGCAGGCACGGATGCTTGCCGGATGCCTACCGACGGTTGATTTATTAGTCCCACCGTCTCACTCCCCCCTGCGGCAGCAGCCGTTGCCTCAGGTAAGCCGTCTTGTCTGGCTCCCACATCTTCTATAGTCTGTGTGGAGGGAGCTGTAAGGACTTCGTGAAATTCGGCGTTTGGAGTCCCAACGATTCTTCCGTCTTCCAGGAGGATACGGTAGTTGGTATTTCCTTCATAGCCTAGCAAAATGCATGGCCTTGTTCGCGGATCCGTAAGCTTCTTTCTTTGCTTTGGCGGGATCAAGTATTCCCCTTTGGATCCGATCACTCTGAGTCGTGATAGGTCAGGCTTATCGCCATACCATGCTTGGTACGGAGTCATGTTGAGCTTCGATGACGGCGACCGGTTGGAGAGGAACGCTGCGGTTCGAGCAATTTCCGGCCAGAATTTAGATGGCAACCTCGCATGTGCTAGCGTAGGCCCAACCCTATCGTAAATAGTCTTGTGGGCTCTTTCAGCGACCCCGTTCTGCTGGTGTTGATCCACTCCTGTCACCTCAGCTTGAATTGCGCGCGAGAACAACATGAACTTCATCTCGTCTCCCACATGTTCAGATGTTCTGTCGAGACGTATTCGCCTGCATTTTCGTTCGGGGCGTTCATTGTGGTCGAGGAAGAACCGTAGTGATTCTATGACGAACTCTTGTCTTCGTGGTATAGGGATAATCTCGATCCAGCCCGTGAAATCGTCAACGATGGTGAGCCAGTAACGACTGCCGTCAAGGCCCTCGTCAAATGGCCCTGCAACGTCAATATGGAGGAGCTCCATTGCGTGTTCTCCTCTCCTGCTATTTCCTGATCTGCGGTGGGGTTTTCGATCATTCGCCCCTGCAGACACGAATTGCATGGATGACGTGGCTCCATGTCCCGAACACCGTGAGCCTGCTTTTTGAGTCGCCGAAGATTTGCATCACTCATATGAGCAAGTCGATTGTGCCACAGAGACATTTGCGGGCTAACATGGTAAGAGGGAAAAGTCAGACTTGTCCACAGATCGAGTGCGTAGACTCCATGATATTCGTTGGCAGTATATAGATTCTTTTCGTTTGACTTGTTGCGAATGATAGCACTCCGGCTTGAGAATTCGACCTTTGCTCCTCGTTTGAGAAGCTGGAGCACCGATATGAGATTGGCGTGTGCAGATGGAACATAGAGGACGTTATCAAGCACAAGCCATTTCTTTCTGCCGCGTACATTGCAAAGGATATTCACTGTTCCCACTCCTGAGGGAGCCGTTGAGGTGTCAACGCCTGTAAGTGAGGGGCCATGGTACTTGGCCATTTGGACAAACCTCGAGGCACTATTGCAGACGTGCTGAGCGCATCCACTATCCACGATCCACGCGTCGCGAATAGAGAGGGTTTTTATCGCCATCATTATGGGAATATGGTCGGACAGGGCGAAATTGCCCTTGATATCGTTTCCAAATGCTTCGTTGACATCTTTCTCGGAGACTCTCGTCGCCATGAAAGTTGGTTTCTTTGGATCCTTTGGACCACCGGCATCATCATCCTCGTCATCCGTCGAAGGCCGCTTCTTCAACTGTTTGCGTGTGCCCGTATGCATCCTGCCTGGCTTTGGCTTCGGTCCATCTCCGTCTTTCTGTTTCAGTTTCGGATTCTTGGTGAAACATTCGGAGTCAACGTGATAAGGTTTTCGGCAGAAGGAGCAATATGGGACGTTATCGATCTCGATTCGACAAGTAGTTCCGTCCGACGACGGGATGAGTTTCTTATCACCTGGCCCACGGACTAGAGCAAGAGCAGGAAGTGCTTGCGTCTCCATACCAGTAGCAGAAAACGGAAGTCGACCAACAACCACATAGCCCTTTTTTAACTCAATAAAGCCCCAATACGGAGCAGTGGGCTTAGTCCACTTTATTTCTTCAATCAGAATTCTTTTAACTTATACGGTCACGGAGTTACAACCCATCGAAGTTGGCCATTTTTGGAGCTTTGAAGGGAAAACGGTTACATAATCGTGCTTCATGTTTTTGTCCTCAAAACTAAACCCTTTTTGATTTATTTCCTCAAAACTAAGCCTATTTGGGACCATAAGCAATATTTATATGAGGGATCATAAACCGCCTCGATAGATCAGAACCGCCCTCCATGCTTATGTCATTGACCCCTTATTTTGGGGCTCGACTCTAGTAAGCTCGATATCTGCTTACCATCGCTCTTACTCTAGTTCTTCTTTAGTATTATGGCGCCCGACTCCCCTCGAGCCCCTACGCGCAAACGAGGGCGGCCTCGGAAGTATGCATCCGCCGAGCAAAGACAAGAGGCTAAGATCATAGCACAGCGAAACCAGCGACAATCTGGTCGTGCTGTGGAGCGTGCGATAGAATTCGACCGGTATTATCCCACTACAATACCAGCATCCGTTTATGTCGATGAAGCTTTGCCAACCTACTTTCCCCCCGGCGAACTAACGATTCCTACGGACATTGAGCAGCTCCTACCGCCCCTCAGCCTAGGACTTAGACCACTAGACTTATCTACAGATAACAACCCGCCTACAAGCGATGAGTGGCCGTTAGCTCCGCCCACTGACCTAACTGATGAGCCATTTCGGGCGATATCTCCGGAAACCCAACCAACATGGCCTGATCAGCGTAGCCCCAGGTTAGAAACCACAGAGACTTCGTTGCAGGTGGATCCGCCTCTACAACGTTTGGCATCTGCACAACCGGAAACACTAGAACCTAACGTGGCCAATGTCATGTGCGACTTCGCCCGACTACTTGCTGATCAGCTCCAGCAACACCATGGTTGCTGCTACCAGTGCCATACGCAGCAGGAGAGTGAGCACGAACTCAAGCACGCCGAGCATATCAGCTTAGGAGAATATATAGACCAGGTTCAGGTCGACGGGGGCTTTCCGGATGTTCTCAGCGATACGACCATTGCCAGACGCGAGGACAACCTAGCAGGACAGACTAGTGCAGAACGAAAGCGTGAGATTTATACCGGGATTAGTTCAGTCACGCCTGACGCTCCTCCCGCCCATATTTGCCTCGCTGTGGATCATCAAAGAGAACGCCCGACCGGGGTCACCTTTGACATTGATAGTATCGTGGGGTTTGCGGAGAGCCTCGCGGTAGCGAAACTTGGCGTGCGGTGGAACCCAACTCAGATGCCCGTCTCTGATCTTCACTCGAGTCTCCACCTTGATCCCCTTCGTGTACACCATACTGGAAGCAATGGCCGCACCCACCACGTCCAACAACCAGTACATAACATCCCGCATTATACCTTCGGGCGGTTGATTGGATTTGAAGATATTTCTCTCTACTTTCTGTTTCCGCGACTATACCGGGAGGAGCAGCAGTCCAGCCGGCTCCGGGATGATGACTTTCGGGTCTGGATGGATCAAGTCCTCCTGCCTGCGATCTACCAGCACTGCGAGGGATCTCTAGTCCAGCACTATCCTTCTAGCTTTGATCACAGCCGGTTCAATGCCACGGCCCGGGGAGTCGAGATGCGCTCCCGGCGAGTGGATCCGGTAGCTCGAGAGCAGCGTCTATTTTATTTCCTACCACCAGATGCACTCCCGCTTGTATGGGCGAATATCTTAGAGACTGTTCAGCGTGCTGGGTTCCAGCACTTCCTAGACGTGACTATCCTGGTCCAGGGTAAAAACCTAAAGACATTGACCAAAGCAAATACGTGGAACGGTATGATGCAGGAGTTTGCCCAGCATTGGGGTAACACGATCGACGAGTCTTATCTCTCCGATCAATTCTACATCGACATTGGGAAAGAGACCTGTCCTACTGGGCCCTCACGGGTTGGTGGTGTTGGACTTCACGCATCTAGGCTCCATTCGGACGGGGAGCTCCGTGCAAGCCCAGTGGTGCCACAGACCATCCTCTGGCGGCGATGTTGCCTAGAGTCGTATACCGAGTGGATCGGGCAGCAGCATCCTCCTGGATCCTCACGTCCAAAGCAGCAGTTTTATCCCATTAGTCTGCTCCACGATACTGGCAGCCTCACATTAGAAACGCGTCCATCCTCACCGCAGCGGCAGGCCGGTCTCCTCTACACGCAGTTTTATTCCAGTGTTAAGGAGGTCTTTGCGGCAGGGGATGCTTATCCCTTTTCTAATCCGGCCCTAGAAACCTTGGCACTAGATCCTCAGCTTCGTAAGACCTGGCAGTATGTCGGGGGCGGTCTCAGCCATGACCCAATCGCGTTGATCCGGGCATATCTGAACATGAAACAGCGGTGCCACGCTGCCTTGCAAGGATCTTATATGAAAGTATTTGGTCTTCGCGAAGAGCACCGCATCTCCCTCCGTCTGTTCTATATGATCGATCAGGAATTCCGAGAGCGCAACCTTCACCAGGCACAACTTCCAGGGATTTCGTCTGAAGTTGAGCCTTTTTACTCCCTCCCTACCTCCACTCTCCTCTTCTGGTTCCACTGGAATATCAACAAGTTCTGCGTGGGGTTTGAGACTGTCTATAGCATCAATGACCGCCATTTTGTTACGTGGGAACATACTCGGGTGATGATGATGTTTCTGCGCTGCCTGCAATTTTCCTATGCGGGTGGCCTTCTACAGCGGGTGTCCGGCTGCTGGCGGGATGTCTGGTTCCAGCCTGATGCTCGGCGGACGGACGGCCTTCGCCGGTGTGAAGGTCTCGGATTCCAAAGCAGCAAGGAGAAATATGGATATGCCTGGTTTCTGGATAAGCTCAACTGGGATACGATGACCTTCCGACAACCGTCCGCGCAATATATGATGTTTAACAGCCCTTCGATGCAGGCGGCGTTCCACGCACGGTACGCGCAGATCCGAGACGTTCGTCTAGACTTCCTACGGGTGCACCAGGCCCACCGCTGGATGGAAGAATTTAGCTCCATTCCTCCTTGCCTCGATCTTCTCGCCGAATTTCTACGACAACTTTCTCTTTGTGTGTTTCGCAAGGACGTGTTTCTGCAGGTCAAACGACTGTTACACCCGGACCATGCTTCTCGGGCTCTAGCAGGAGAGGTTCCCCTCAGCTATGATAGCATCAGTGGCGTATTTATTAAGGGTGCCCAACCGTTACAGCTTCTAGATCAGCGTCGGATCGCGGTAAAGAGCGTGGACACTATCTTCGCTTGGCTGTGGGAGTGGAAAGATGGCCGTTTTGATCGAAAGGGGTGGAAAGACAAGCCATATCGTATGGTGTACCAGCAAAGCTTCGAGGCCGTCCATCAAATCCTAGGCAAGGATCGAGCGCGCGAGTGGAAGAAGGCCCTAAAAACTTCATTCCTCCAAAGCCACTGGTTACTTCCATACCCACATAGCAATGGATTTATGCGCAGGTCTAAGGATACAGGACAGGAGGTATGGTGGTCTAACTTCAATGCCGGATTGTACGAACACTACAGGCAATGGTATGGTGTGTCGCGAGGGGGTGACCCTTTCCCTGCCGAATATATCAAACACCATCCAACGACTGGCTGGGGCCGCTCGTCTGGCGAATCTCAGTACATGGAGAACGCCATGGAACCGGAGATGGATCTGGTTAGGCTGCCTGAAGGGGAATTCTATGAGAAATTGTTACAGATCGCCGATCAGTTTTCCCAGAATCCCGATGCCCCAGCGTGGAAGAGAAAAGCCCCGCAGACTGTCTTTCGCTTTGGTATCAGAATTGGAGATGAGTCGTTGTTGAAAGCCCAGCGCAAGGCTAAAGGCACCGTGGCGCAAGACTTATGCATGCGAATGATCCAAGCCCTGGATGAATATGAGGTCTTGGGACATTCTGGACGGATGCTCCGGCCCCGCAAGAGGCACAGACGACAAGTTCTGTTGGCCGCGTGTGACACCGAAGACGAGATCACATCCGATGAAGAATCAATCGCCAACCGACGCGATCGCTTAGCGGCAAACATCCTTGAGCTTGAACCGAAAATGCGGGTGGCAGTTACCGCGGAGCGAAAACAGTACCGGTGGCCCCTTTTACATAGTGTTCATCTGAAACATCTTGAGCCACGACTTCAGCGATTCAAGATTGCCGGAACACAAGCTGGCGACTCGCCTTAAGTCAGCTGTTTGGGCTGAAAGCCGTAAGGCTGGCAATTTTGGTAGGGTGGTCTATGTTCGCACCTCACAACCAGGCTAACCAGATTTGGCTTAGTGCCCGCACCGGCATAGATAAAGTTGCTTTAGCGCGATATCAAAGCGGCTTGATTCTATACAACCCAATCCACGCTTTCCACCTGTCCGCCCGCAACGCAACGCCCACGACGGCAGGTAACCCTATCCCACGGGGGTGGCCCAGTCTACTAGACTGGGAATTATGGTTTCCTTTTAACTACTAGGGTTTATGGGACATAAAAAGTGGGTCCCGTTAGACTGGGAATTAATTTCCTCGTTAGACTGGTGAGGTCTAATGACCTCTGATCGCTCTCAAATTTTGGCAAGTTATAATAGACAATCTAATTTATCTCCGATTCACTTCGGAGCATGCGCAGCCTCCTAATCATCGAGAAAATGGCGATTCAATATTGGAGATGTTTTGTTGGGGTACGGCATTTTGTACCTTTACGGCGTACCTTTACTACCAAAGACGCCACCACAGCACTCTAGACGAATAGAACAACCTCGATAATGCTAGTCTATAATGATCAAGAGGGGTAGCAATTAGTTTAGGGGGTTTTGAAGCTTTCTCGCTATTATCTCACTTTCTTTTTACACTATTTCACCCCGAAATCAGCATTCGACATTCGTCAAATTTCATGCAATTCATTATGCAAAATCAGTTATTTCACAAACCTTCGACAGACCCAGTCTTCGTGTGTAAGACATGCGAGTACGTTGTTAGACCAAGAGAGGTCTTACGACACCTCCAATCGGCGAATCATCGACTTCCACTACGTACGGCACGTCAAATTGCGGATGTTGTTCAAACCTCCGACCGGGCGCATGAATGCGACGCATGGCAGCCACCAACCGTGGTCAATACCCCAATTGCTAATTTGCCAGTTTTTTCGGACGGCATTTTATGTGAAAAGGACCTATTTTGTCAATTTATCGCGCGTACAGCCAATACTATACGACAGCATTGGCGCGATCAGCATGGTTCGGTAGCACCCTCTAGCACTCGTGGACGGCCACCACAGGCATCACAAGGGCTATCGGCAGCCGAGCAGCAAATCCAGCAATTTACGCGTGTCGTACGATGCCAGCGAGCATTTCCTAGTCGTACTGGATCTCACTATATTCGGGTGCGTACGCTCGGGGCGGATGCCATTGCCGAGGCCGATTCAATGCCTACGACCGAGGTCGGCGACCGGCTTATTGATGAAATCGAACTAGCTTTCAAAGAGGAAAGTGAGCTACCCCAGCTAATTGAAGCTGGCGAGCGCGATGACGCGAATCCATGGCTCCGTCGTACGCGGTGGGCCGTCTACCTCCGTGGAATCGACCCCCAGCACCTTATTAACTGCGTCCGAGCACCCGAGGTCGATTCATGCGATCCGACGGAAATGGCGGCAAGCGCTATATGGGATGCAATGGCGGCTGTCGCGAGAATTAGCCAGTTGATTTGTACGAAAACTAGCCATACCATTCGCACCGAAGCCGTACGTACGGAGCGCGACCGACTACCGCACCAGCCATTGCAAGCTTACATGGATGCCGATAACATTGAGAGACATACCGTGCCGTGGCAGCAAATTTTGATGTTTTTCACTCGTACGCAGGCTTCGCATGAATGGGCCAGTCCAAGTTACAAATTCACTAGGCGCCAGCGAGCCGCGTGGAATTCGCTTTGGAAACTGGCTCAGCCGGGCGTATTACCTAGTCTAGGCATTGCTAGGTTAGCTAGCCTAGCCACGGCTAGTTCAGACGATTGTAGCGAGCATTCAGAGAGTCAGCATTCAGAGAGTGACACCGAGGATCATCCCACGCAGCGAATCGCTAGCGAATCGCTAGCTAATCGGCAAAATAGCACCGATTCTCCGTTTCAGCTCGCTCCCATTGATCTAGCGTGTCTCAATTTTTGCATTGAGCTTTTGAATCATCGAATTAAGGTCGAGGACTATGAGAGCGCGCTGATTTGTGCCACGGCAGTGCTCGGTCGCGGTGAGACAGGCTGGCGTACGGCAGAGAGCTATCCTCCGATTTTATCGAAGCTTATTAAAATTGCACGATTCATGGTAGTCCACAAGGCATTGAAATTGGACTCCACGGCTGAGGCAATGCTATATCAGCTAGCAGAGCATCAAATGGCAGGGGATTGGGATACCGAGAGTCCACTCGATTCACCTGAATTTCAGACATCAGATGATCAATTTTTCAATTTTGAAAATGGGCTAGTTCAGCCACCGTCGCAGCCATCGCAATTCATTCAATTTACCCAAGCTCAGCGGCAGACCCAGCGATCATTTCGAGAGTGGGTGGCTGAGATGGTAAGCCAATTCATGGTCCGTGGAACTAATAGTCCAATTCAATGGCTATTAGATCTACGGACGTACGGCTTAAAGATCCATTACAATAGCACCACTACGGGCCACGTCGGCTGGATGAATCAGGACCAGCTACTTTACCAGCAATTCAATTTCTCAATAGGTGACTTCCGTGGGTTCATCCACGGGCTTACGACCTCGGCACGCCAAATCCTTCACAGTGAGCTATTATTCGTCGAAAATGGGTTAGTTCCAGCTATTCCATGGCAGGCAATTTACGACGATCCCACGGAGACAGCTCACGGGTGGAATTTCTTAAAAGACACCCGTACGCCATGGCCGGTAGACGGCGAGCAATGGCTAATCGGGCGGGTACGGCAGCACGGCCCGGTACGGCAGCGATTTATCGAGAGTAGTGCCGGTCGGCTACGGATGGCAGCAATTGACGTATACCTTCAACGGGTAGCGCATTTCCGTGAGAAGCTTGCTATTGCTATTCACGTGAGTGGTGGCCAGCCGGCTCGAGCGCCAGAGCTATTAAGCATTCGGCATTGCAATACCGACAGCGGGGGCCGTCGCAATATATTTATTGAGGATGGGCTCGTAACCTTCGTCTCACAATACCACAAGGGGTTTTACGCATCCAATGATACGAAGGTGATTCATCGCTATTTACCCCAGGAGGTAGGTGAGCTTGTGGTCCATTATTTATGGTTAGTATTGCCATTTATACGACGATTGGAGGCGTACGTAGCGAAGGTGCGGAGATCGGACGGCGTGGAAGAGATCAAGAGGTGAGTTGTTTCAATTTCTCAATTTCTCAATTTCTCAATTTCTTAATTTCCAATTTCTCAATTTCCAATTTCTTAATTTCCAATTTCTTAATTTCCAATTTCTCAATTTCCAATTTCTTAAATTTCTTCAATTTCTCAATTTCCAATTTCTCAATTTCCAATTTGTTCAATTTCTTCAATTTCTTCATGATTTTTACTAATTTTGGCAAGTAGGCAGCGTCAGGCTTACCTCTGGGGTCCGGATCCTGGCACTAGCCGAGCTTGGTCATCTGAGAGACTCCGTGAGGTCTTAAAACGGGAGACCACCATTGGGCTTAATGGGCAAGCGATCAATTTGAATGCTTACCGAGATATTGCTATCGGCATTAGCCGTCGCTTCATGCGGCCATCTAGCGTATTTCCCAATAATACGCAGCAGGATGCAAGGGCCGATGCTTCACAAGAGGATGACGAAGACGGCATGAATGCTGAGCAATGGATGGGCCATATTGCTGACCTCCAGGCGGCCCATTCATCCCACGTGGCCGGCATGATCTACGGCCGTGGCATCACCGAGCAGCCCGGTACGACGGCCCACCGGCGTGAGATGTTTCGGCTTAGTAGCACCGACTGGCATCGATTTTTAGGCTTTGTGTCCACGGATGACGGCGGGGCCGAGAGTGCATTAGGAATGGCCCAGTTTTCACCATGGCAGAAGGAAGCCGAGATCGGCCGTACGGAGCGTCGCTGGCAATTAACGCAGGCAGCTATAGAGCCCGAGATGCAGCGAATGCTAGGAAATAGCGAGCTTCACTCCGAGGGGTGCAGGCACCGGCGTTAGCAGCGATTCAACAAGGCCAGAGCCCGGTGGTGGCCGTTATGCCCACCGGGGGTGGAAAAAGCTTACTTTTCATGCTACCCGCGTGGATCAGCCCCCGTGGGGTGACGGTGGTGGTCGTGCCATTAATTGCATTACGGGGAGACATGGTATATCGATGCCAGCGGCTCGGCATTTCATGCGTGGAGTGGGAGAGCCGTCGGCCGGCAGACCAGGCATCGATTGTACTCGTGACGCCGGAATCAGCTATTACGGAGGATTTCATGACATTTTTGAACCGCCAGCGGCTATGTCATCGGCTAGATCGCATTGTGATCGATGAATGCCACGTGGTATTAAATGATCAGACCTATTTCAGGCCCGCCATGGCTCAATTAGGTCGATTGCTCGTGGCTCAGGCTCAGATGATATATTTGACTGCCACGCTGCCACCGAGCGTCGAAAACCAGCTATTTCAACGGCTACGTACGTCGCGAGAGAAGGTCCATTTATTTCGAGCTCGCACCCATCGCATGAATGTCGCTTACCGGCTATGGCAGCCCACGGTGGCGAACCCAAGCCGATACGCTAATAGCTACGATTGGCTAGAGAACCCCGAGATCGTACGATTTATTAGAGATCGTATTACGCGCGCGCGTGCTCAGACCGGCCGGGTGGTCATTTACGGGCCCACCACCAAGACCGTAGAGCAACTAGCCCAGTTAGTCGGGTGTGAGGCATATCACAGCCGTACGATCGATCGCAAAGGCGTACTAGCTCGTTTCCAGGCCGATACCACGGGGGTAGTGGCAGCTACTAGCGCGCTAGGCATGGGTGTTGATATACCCAATATTCGCAGTATAATTCACATTAGCTTGCCACGCAGCTTATTGGATTACGCGCAAGAGAGCGGCCGTGCTGGCCGAGACGGGCATCGTAGTGAGGCCATTATTATACAACCCGCTAGGTTTTCACGGCCGAAATGGGACCCGATTCATGAAGACCCCGTGAAAGCGCAGGCTGAGCAAGCAAGGCTTGACCGAT